ACTGAAGTTAAGGGAGAAGAAAACCAAAAACAGAAATATGTTGATCCCTTCTCTCTAATACGAACTACGTCACTGCATTGACAAAAGTACTTTTATTAGCATTCGTAGGAGTACAAGCAGAAATGGAAATTGACCAATAAATAACAATAAAAATACAACAACAACTACAACAACAAGAACGATGATAACAGCGATAACAATGAAATCGTAAATGGAACTTTTGTATGAGAGGAAAAAAACCAATAAAATCCCCAAAATTGCAAATGAACAAATTTTCGAAGAGAAAAAATTAATGCCCTTTTTTAGATTTTGCATAAAATTTGAACTAAACTTCGTTTAATTTGCGATTTAAATTGGCAATTAACATTATTTTCGGGGTAACAAAGTAATGCGCATAGTGCCAGGGGGACTCAAATGGACTAAAACTTTTAATGAGCGAAAAAACTAAAATTTGAAAATAATATATATACTGCTAATGAAATTGAATGTGGAGGGGTTCAAAATGATGGGGGTGTGAACGTTTTGGAAATTATATAGAATCAGTCAAGGGAAAAGTTTCCATTGTGAAAAGGTTAAAGGTGATGATAAAATAATGATGTTGCAAAATAAGTTGGTTAATGGGCTTTAATTAGGCTTTTACAATGAGTTTTATATATAGCCCATATTAAAATATATCTATTTATAAATACATATAAGCTAGTTTATGTTATTCTAACATTTTACTCATTTAATTAAATATTTAATTCTGACCTTATGAGGTATTAGAGATGATTAATATATTTCAAGAAAAATATGTGTAAATATTTTGAGAAAGTTTTTGGAACAAATATTTAACCTAAAACATAGCTAACTATTTTTTCTAGTATAAATAAAATGAAACCAATTAGTTAGTAAATATATATAGAGTACATCTTAATTACATATAGTAGTAAATATATATTTTTTGATATATGCATATTAAATCTTATTGTCTACATTCAATGTTACACATATAATTGAATGACAGACTCATACTAAAGTTTGTTTTTTATACTCTATATTATACATATATGAAGTTGAATTGCAGACATTAGTCGAAGATAACTCAAGCTGGAAAGCCTATTTACAAGTAGCTGATGCTTAGTTATAACCATATATCGGTAATAACTATGCGATTCCTGACTTCAAAATGGTCCAATTCCGGTTTATGTAAGTAGACCAGCAACGTCATATATTTTCATAGAAAATAATTCAGATGTATGAGATCGCATAATCGTGATGGTTTATTCAGAGAAGCACTAAGTGAAATGAAGTCCTTATTTATTGCTATAGTCTGATTGTGTCGCACGGTATGTGGCATATTGCATTGTTTTGTTGAAAAAAAAGCAGTTGTCCATTAAGCTTTGAAACCTTTAAAAATTGCTTATAGACCTTCATATTTAGTAATCAAAAATAGCTGGATCTAACAATGAAGATCAAAGTGGATATTTCTACAAATTTGATTACAGTTTTGTAGATATAATTTTAAAAATTGCATTTTGTCAATAGCAAAGTCATTTCATAGAATTGAAGGCCACAATAAAATTAGGTTACGATAAATGTATAGAGAACTGAAGGGTAAGGCATTGTTATGATTGTATGGCACTCACTGGGACCCAGATCGATTACGACAATATAAATTTAAGTGATTAATATGCTTGTATGTGTTTTATTTTATGATTCTGGAGGTTTTCTAAATAGCATATATAAATACCATGAGCACATACTAAACTTAAAACAATTAGGCTTGACGTAACAGTAATAACATTAGCATTCATGGCAAATTTAAGACGTACTTCAACTTTCAGAGGACGTTATTCAGTTAAGCTCTAAGAAGTGAACCTATTACGATATGAAAGTTTAGTAGCAAGTTAGCTGTTATGAGAAAGTTTTTGTAAATATATCTAAATCATGTGTTGAAAAGTCACTGCAATGTTTTAATAAAAGATTCAATACTTTCAATGTTTATATTGTTTTATATCGAATTAACACTTGAGAAAATAAGAAGTTAGAGTATATACATATATGATTTCTGTTTAATCGAATTTAACTTTGGTAATAAACAAAATGCTGATAAGTCTGTCTATATGCATTTGAGCATCGATGGTATGTTGGTGGTGATGGTTGAGATGTACCATGTTGTAAGTTGCTTTATTCGAATACTTTATAAAACTCTTTAATTTGAAGTTTTGATGTATGGGGGTGTAGTAAAATAAAAAGTTTTGGATTTTTTTTGAAGATACCTATTGTACTTTTTAACTTATGAGCGTGTGTTACTGTCGCACTATATCATTCTTTATATTGTACTTCATTGCTTTGTAAATTTTATAATAAATAAATTATAAGTACCCTTAGTACTTGCAGTCTTAAATAAATTGTTTATAAATAAAACCAAAAATTCAATTAACTAAAAATAATGTAAAAAAAATAATTTTTGTTACAATTTCACTACTGTTCGATGAAACCCTCTTCTATGAAAATAATAGTTTATATTAAGAATTTTATTTCTTTTGTCACACACAACGAATGTTAAACATCAATTTAATAATAATTAAATTAAAATATTTGCTAAGGCATAGACCCACTGTTGGTTCAGGTTTCTTGAGGTATTAATAACTTAAGGCAATATTCTTACTTAAAAGTTAACAAAATTGCTGATTTCCAAATTAGTATTTCGTTTTTGATCCATTAAAATAAAGTAAAATTGTTATCGATTAAGTCCTCTAACGATGAAACATGAAATCCTATTAACATATTTTGATAAACAACACTGGAATCCAAACTTTTGGGCCTGCAGTTAAAAACGGAATTCGCCAATTCACCAGCTGCCAATTTGCTTTGTATTGCTAAAGCTTTTCGAACCTCTGGCCAGAAAATAACTGAAAACTACCAAAAGCAGTCCAAAGTAGCTCGAATCAAATAACATTAAATAAAAGTAATGGCCAGAATTGTAACCTACAACAAAATAAAATCGTGCGTAAAACTTTTCCATTACAGAAATTATCTGTGAATTAGTGTTGCGTAAGATTAAGTAAATTCGATTTAATTTTGATTTAACGAAATTCCGCTACAGGCAATAAAAGCGCTGAAAAACTTTCTCAAAATATTTTGCAACAATTTTAATTCCATTTACTGGTATTAGTTGCTTGAATGCTACTTTTCAAATCCACGGCTAATAGCGCTCTTAACCCGCATTTGAGCAGCATGAAAAGTCATTTTCTGCTGCTATTAACTTCGAAAACTAAAACTGAAATTTTCTTATTCAATAAAGATATAACACTTTCTCATAAAATTATATGACGTTCATTTCGGCTTTAACGCCCGTTCACGCTAAAAACTTTTACGACTTCTTCACTTGGTTTGATGGGTGCTTATCTGGATCGGTGTGTGTGTTTGTTGTCCTGACAGTCAACACAAAAACATTTATGTAGATGTTCTACATTTCCACATCTGTACGAATCTCATATGTGTACTCATAACAGATACTCGTATTCAGTATCGAATCTAATCTGGTTTTATTGATATTGGCACAATTTTGCAGTTTTGTTTATAAACAAAAAACTCCACATAAAAATATTTGATTAGATAAAATGAGAAATGAAATTATATGGAAACCATTGAACTTAAGGTAAGTTCTTGAGGGAAAGAAAATACTTGAATGAATTATATGTAACAGTTACAGATGCGATGAGTTATTTCAGGAAAACAACAAAAATATTTGGTTTATGTAGTAAAAAAATCTTTATGAAATTGGAATTCTATTATTATAAGAAAAGATTACTTTTTTAGAGAGATCTATGACTCCAAATTGAATAAAAAAAAATACGATTCGAGTTAATTAATAAGCAATTAAAAATTAAAATATTTGATAATATTTTCGTATACTCAAGACTGTATCTTACAATTGATGCTACCGATTTTGATTTTAATACTAGAAACCCATATATACTAAAGGTCTCTAATACTTCCATACAAAATGCCATAGAACACCTTACTAGAGTTCCACTTCTCTTCACAATATTGTCTTTTCGATGTTTTGTTTTAAAAGCTCATTAATTACACTTATAATAAAACCTGTTGAAATTTCGACATCATAATTTCTTAGACATAAGAAATGACATGTTCTCTTCTTAGACATAGTTTTTGCATTTGCATTGTTGCTCTTTTTTCTACCATGTTAAAGTTTTATAAAGATGTATACAATAAACAGTAAAAAAATGAATATATTTCAAACGATTATAATCTTAAAATTAATAATACTAAGACTAAAATAATAAAAAAAAATAAATGTGCCATTGAACTTGAAAATTACTTTAGAAAACTTCTGCACAAACATATTTAATGTTAAAAAGTTTGTCACCCAATTGGGCTTGTTCAGTTTGTGTTGGCGTTTGTTTAAACACACATCATCACTTTAACATCTATTGCTCATAGTGCTGTTCTCCAAGCTGTCAAGGTGAGGCTTTGTTTACATAGAAAATTTTTGAAGCTTGAAATCATAGCCCACATTACTCCTGACAGGCATACATATTGTAAAAATATTAACACCATCATATTTTTACATGCTTGCCATCCGATTTACTATAAAATCTGCAATTATTTTAGAATCCTCTATTACTCCTTATAAATCATATCCAATGTTTAAGGTATTGACTATAAAGATCAAGATGCATTAGACCTAATTATAGTAGGAAGATTTGATAATTTCCTCTTGGTATTCCCAGCGCACGAAAAACATACGAGTATAATGACCAACGCATAAGACAAAAATCCGTGATCGTAAGACTGCACCTGCAGCATAATCCGAAACTAAACGGTATACCCAACAGAAGCAAAAATTGGGCAGTTAATGAGTTATTTCCACTTGAAGGATGGTTTTAAAAAGTATGTTCACTAAAGCAAGTCATTATTAAAAAGGTTAAATTTTGGTACTGTCAGATCCAGACAGGAAGTGAAATAAAAAAAAAATAAATAAAAAAGAATTGACTGCTTTTAAGACATTTATTAATTTAGAAATCATAATAAACAGCATTTGAGGTTTTTAATATAAAAATAAATTGGCATCATGTCAGACAGTTCTTCAGTTATTACACCTGTAAGACAAATTTAATAAATTATTGTTAATATAACTTCAGTTAATACGAATATATTACTCTTTCAACCAATATCGGTTACACGAGATTTAAAACTTTGAATGAGTACCAAGTTTAACCAACTTCATAATGATCTCTAAGGGTAGAATTTTGTTGTAAACCATTGTCATCATGTTAGTGTATAACTGACGGAATTGAAAACTTAATGCTACTTCTTGACTACAAGTTATGGTACAGATATGGTGAGGAGTTTCCCTACACTGAAATACGCTTAATACACGCGAGTCTTCATCGAAAGATTTGCTGAAGAAAAATACAATTTTTGGGACATCTGTTTCGGAGTCCATAACTGCAGATTTTGAACCAAAAACACCGTTTTCATTAAATTTGTTCCGAAATTTAGAGCAATATTGAACCAAAAATATATCTAAAGGAAATTTATATATTATTTATTATTAAAAAAAAAAATTTTAAGTTTTAGAAAATTTTTTTTTTGGGTGCTAAGATTAAAATTTGGTGAGTTAAATATTAAATTTAAATTACTATCGTCTCCAACACATTGTATACGAAAATGCTTACTCTATCATCTTATGGTATTATAGATCTGAATGGTCTCTAACATAATTTATTAAATTTTTTCAACTGGCTGGTATCCAATTCTTTTATTCTTTCCAATTCAGTAGCAGTGGTATCAGTTTAACGTATTCTTGGACGACTCTTTCGTTATGTGTTTTGAATCTCGTAGACCAAGTGTGCCTTATAGATCTCAAGATGTATTTATTATTCCATCATCTTATGGATGATTTTAACGATGACGATAACTCATTTTTGGGTGACTCTTTCGTTATATGTTTAGAACCTAGTAGAATAAGTGCTCCTATATAATTACGGTTTTTCTTGAACGTAATTACTTACCTTATAGATCTCACGATATTTTCATTAATACAGTCGGAGAAATTTGTTTTTGTTAGGTTGTTATTTAGTACAAAATAATATTCGTTGGCAATTTTTTCTTCAACAAATAAATTCGAGAAACTGCAGTCGTATAATATAATGATAATAAACTGCTCAAAAGTTAGATATACACTTTATTCCAATGTTATATAAACATGTAATCTAAGTCCCACAGGAAGACTATTACTCAGGGCATAGCAGAGTATCCTCAGATTGAGGATAAAAAGAAGTAATAATAATAATAAGGATAAGCACAAAAAGAACACAGGAGTTCTGAGTGGTTTTCTGAAGCACCTCTTCTTTGTAGCTCGTTCACTTTGCAATTGCTGAAACTATCTCAACGACTAGGAATCCAGATTAGACATTGTTTATGTGGTACTACACCTTAAATTATTAAATTTATATATACTTTGAGTAGAAAATTTCCTTAAAAATCGACTCACGAAACAGACGATAAATGTATGTGCAAGCATTCTTAATCCTTTCGAGTTGTTTAATGTCCATGTTCAAATAAACACCTTAAGAAAAGAAAACAAAACAACTAGAAAAGAAAAACGGGATAAAAAGGAACGAGTAAGTAAAATAGGAAAATCACAAAACTCGAAACATTTGCACAAGTATTACGTGCAAGGCATATCCTTAAGTCCTTTCGGTTTGTGCTTTCCTTTTTCTTGTACTGTGACACCGTTTTCACTAACGAAATCACGTGACAAACGATTGAATGCACTTTGGTTGCCTTTTCACTTAAAAGCAAGATTTCAATCACTGAAAGGTGAAATGCGCATAATGAAAGAAAGTTTATTTCATTCGCAAAGGTTTTTGCGTGGCAGTTAAACGGAAATGACAGAAGCAATAGTGCGGCTTCCGGTTGAGTACAGGAAAAAGGAACTCAGGAACTTGGGAACTCGGGAGCTCGCCGTTGAGTAAGTAGTGAAGATTTAAGTAGCGTAAAATAAACAAGAAAAACTGTATTCCCAACTAAATAAATAAATAGAAATGTACTGCTTCAATAACTTGCATTTCAAGGCTTATTTAACCCAAAATCTGACTTAAGGCAGAAACACGAACTAAGACCGCATGTGGTGGCGCGCTGAAGGCACGTGCCAAGTGAGTATGCAAATGAGCGCAAGGACAACTCGCACATGGCACATATGAGCAGTTCCGAGCTTGATTTGCTATGATATATGAGCGTCACTTTAAATTTAATTTGCAGAAGTTTAAAAATGCTCAACAACAGGAAAAATCGCATGCCACGCTGTTAAGCATTATCGAATCCGCAACAAATCCCATGTTGCGCCAGCGGACGTGACTGGCATCTGTGAAGAAACAATCCTATTTATTGCTACAAACAAAGCAGCAACTTACGTTTTATTGACGCGTTGCTAGGTTGCGTGTGGGCTTTCGCTGACTATGTAATCTATGTTCTTAATTTCCGATAGTAATGAATGTACCATAAATCTTGCCAAGCGTTTCGACAACCTATTTTTTTGTGTGTGTCCCGTACTTCTTTGTTCTAATACTTTTTGTTTTTCCCCTTTTCCCCCATTGTGCGTTTGACATTTCGCTCCGTGTACGTTTTTCCTTTTGCGAAACTTGAAAATAATTTTCTAAAGTTTTGGTTGTTCTAACGCATTTGGTGTTTCGACATCGACATTATCCTGAAGGCGCCACATCCTGGTACCCTTTTGCATATTACCTCCGTTGTTGGTGTTCCTATTGTTCTTGCAGTTTAGTTTGATGGAGTCGCAAATGGTGCAAGGTGCTATCGGTATTTGTTCCATATTCGCACAACTTTGCAGTGAAATCATTGTTTCCGTGTGAAATTCAATTTCTTATTGTAAATCTTTGGCATTACATTTGAGAAGTTGTGCATTATTTTGTATAGCACACCCTCTCTTTTAAAGTTTTCTATAGGTGTTGACCTTATTTCAAGACAAGAATGATTAATATTGTTAAGAAGTTAAGTGTTTTATGAGTATGAATAATTTAAAAGTGGGACATTGTCTGAAAATGGGTTATCGTACTTTAAGAGTTTAAAGTTAAAAAAAATTTCAATTTGAGATATTTTATCGAAGTTAAAGGAAATTTAAAGAGTTGAAGGAAGCTGAATTGTAAAAATACATAGTCCTCGATTCATCACTGGAAAATGGTAGCAATGGTGTCAATGGTATCAAAAATGAGGTCATATGTTAAGAAACAAAAGTGATGGATATTGCAAATACGATAAAGGTCATCTCCTGATATTGCTTCTGCTTGGGTCTTGTAGCATATAACTAATTAACAAATTTAATAATTTAAAATTTAATTTTAAATTATTTAAAAAAATTTGCAATTTTATTATTTACAAATGACGAACTAATACTTTACTTAAATGAGGTGTAATGAAGTTACTCGTTTGAAAAATTTGATCACTAAAACTTAATTAGTGAGTAAATAAAACACAAGTCAACATAAATATATATCTAATTATGGAATGGACTGATAGATAGAGTTGGCTGGCTAAGCCTACGCAAAGACCGCTATAAGGTCCAGATACTAGATTAAAGACCTTAGAGTCTGTTAATGATGCTAAACACTACTTTAAATGTGTATATCATTAGCTTCCCTTTCAGGATAGAAGGCCTACAAACTTTCGAGGTGAGGTATGTTTGTCATAGGAAGTGACTAAAATCAAGTGCACATCACCGTATACTGTTCAAAGTATAAATTGTAGTGAGTAGTACTTATGGAACCAGACCTAAGGCGTAAGTCTGATACCATGGGTGTCATAGCCAAAATCTTTGGCTGTCCTGACCAATAGAGGTTAAGTACTTTAATTGGAGTTTCTCGGTATACAAAGTTAAAAAATCCGAAGGTACGCGGTTGGTGGACTATATGTATTCATTTCGTATTTCATACATATTTCATTTGATTTGAAGTTATATTTTCCAGGCGGGTGTTGGAACCCCAAGAACAGTTAAGGTTTCAGATGGGTTTCTCGCCTTGATAAGTTGGAAACTATGCTCAACAGTGTAGCTTTAATTTTTACGGGTGGAAATTTTTGACATGTGTTAAGAGCACTAATCCGTTACGACATAATGGCATATGATTAGGTTAAAAAACTATATTTTCTGTATGTCACTAATAAATTGTAAGAGGTGGTTTGATCCTAACAACTTTCACAGTAAGACCTTTATCCTGGATAAAGCGAATGAACATAACAGAGTCCCACAGTATACATCAAAAAGCAGCTTTCGATATCCACCTTAAGGATCACATTTATGTCTTAATGTCTGAGTTCAGTATCCGTGTACAGTTAATATGATTCTGCAGAATAACGTTGAGCAGAACATGTAGTTTCATAAAGGTTGGATCAAATCCTTAAAATCTGGCGATGCTTCAGGCAAGGTACTTAACTGTCATGTAATGTATTCAATTTTGTTGTGAAAATGATGTCAAACACAATAGCATTATAATGACACAATGTGCTAAAAATGTTTCTAGTTCTTTATTCACGTCACCGTCGCCGTCACCGACATCATTGGGCATAGCTAGCGTAATGTTATTGCTGCGGTTGTTACTATCGTAAAGTGTCCTTCAAAATTGGATTTAGATTCTAACGTAATGAACAATAACGATGTAGTCTTAAATTCAGATATAGAATTATCAATATCAATAGGTGTTAATTAGGATCTAAAGAGGTCCACTTGAAAGAGAAGCATAGCAGTAAGTAAATAAGTAAGTAGAAAATTGCGAGGTAGAACCCTCTATCGATCAGCAATACTTACGCACTGTAGGTCGCTATTGCTACTTGTGCTTCTATATGGCGCGGAAGGATGAACTTTAGAATGATAAAGATGCGCTAAGATTTTTCAGGAAACAATTCAGTCTTACCTTTGGAAAGTATCGCAAAGTAACAGATATTCGAGGAAATAATGCACGGTTTTTTCATGTATTCTTTTCGTTACTGCTGGTGCTGTCTTCCTGCTGGGTATGCGATGCAACCATACAATTATTATATTAAAACACCAAATCAATTTCGGTATCTCTTTCAATATATATTTGAATATCTTGCGTGAAATATGTGTTTGCATATGAACCCAAGGACTTTACAGGTACTTAATTTACATCTTAATCTTGGCTATGCTTTTACGGCCATCAACTTAATATACCTATACTCACCCCTCTTCTATTTGCCAATTTGTCTATTGCTGTCTTGCACTATTGAATGGTTTCTAAAGATGGATGAAGGGTGGTTTACAAAGACGTCTATTGTACAGTTAGTTGTTTCTTTTAAGCATACAAATTCTGCCAATTTTGTAACAGCAAATACTTCTGCCTCAAATACACTACAATAATACATTAAGAAAAGAAAATAGTTTTTTATTAAGTGGTTTTAAATTAAATAACATACTTCAATTCAAACACACTAATCCTCGGTATTTATTCTCTCTACGAGCTGCCTTATAAGTTATTTAATAGCTGATTAAGTCTTTCGTTCCTAATTATTATATCCTAACAGATTTTAAAATTTATTTCAAATGATAAAATTTAATTAACTCATTTTACTTGTCGCTTGTATCTGCTGTGGTACATAAAACACGGATCCGATTAACTTGAAATATAATAAATTAACCCTCAACGCAGTTACAGTACAGATTACCACAAAAGGTATATATATCTATATATATTTATATATATATTTACAAGAAGGCACAAAGGCACGAAGAAAAAATTAGAGTGGGGAAGTGTAAATCAAAGCATTTTATCTGCTTTAAGCTGTGCGCTACTCTAACATCGCCGTAGTCACACCTACCGAAAATTCCATTTCGACCGTGTCCTTATTGTGCTTTTTTGGGTGTGCATTCGACTATCTCCGGAGCCACCATGCGACAAATGTTGAACACTCGCCGGTTAACCTTTCTTTTTGTGTCGTAAGCTATGCGTTTTCTAATTTATGCTCATTTTTGTGTGTTTGTGTTCGTCGTAATAAATTAAAGGATTCTTGTTTTCCACTAAAAACTCATATAAATGCCATATACTCGTGTGTCCTTAATGGCGGCAGTGCAATAACAATTTATCGCACTTTGAGAACGACACCAATATAGCGACGATACAAATATGCTTTCACCTGGCCGAAAAGGATTGTCTGGTATTTATCCCTAAACGTTAAAATACGCTTTATCGCTTTGGTTAAGTCTGAACTATGTATTTTTTAGGTACATATCGGCTTTAAATGGTTCAGTTAGGTTCACATCGGTTCAGCTCAGCGTATAACTAACGATATTTTAAGGCACTAAGGACAATGGCTGTGGATACGGCAATAAAACTTAGGCCATTGGCAACGACAATCGACATTAAAGCTGATTGTGTTTCTAAATGTATTTCACTTTTAAATGGGTTTTTGTGGTTAAGTTACTAAATTGTGCTCTGTTGTTGTACTAAAAATTTTAAAAAATTGTTCAATTACATCTAAGAGCTCGTAAATACAGTGAAAGTATTTTATTGTTAGAAATATGTGTAAAAGTAAAAAGAAGTTTAATCAGATTCGAATGAATTGGTGTTATTGTACTTTTTTCAAAAAATTTTTATTCTTGCCATTATAAATGATAAAAAAAGGCTTAGATATTTATCGGATAATGTCTTTAATATTATGACTGATTAATATTTTGTGATTTATTAAATAAATTTTGGAATTTCTTGGTAAAATTGAATAATCTATGTAAAACTCACATGAATTCTGAATATTCTAATTATTTTATTGTATTGTTAACACACAATGAAGTTCTCTTACCATATAATATCATTCAACAACTAAAAATATTATCGTAATATGATTTCTTTCTGAATTTGATTATTTCTCTAGTATGACAATATAATAGCTGAACAAAGACTATGTGAAACTATATTGTTATAACACTAGGCAATCTATTTTGAAATCTTATAAATTAATCTCAACTTATATCTTATTTTTTGTAAGACTTATAAATCCTATAAATCTTAAAAAATCTTCAATTTTATAGATGATAGGTTGTTTAAGCGGTGGATAAAGGTCAACAAATGTAAATCATTGCAGGCTATATACCACCTCATAAAATGAGGATGCTCAGTAGTTAAATTCAACAATATTGCAATTCTACGATAACTGAGAATATACATATTTGAATCTAAAAAGGTTTGATATAAATATTCCATATATTTCTGAAGATTTTATAAAACAGTCAAACAGTTACTACTCGTTTTGGAATAGGATTAGTACTCATTGATATAAAATAAGCATAAAATTTATTACACAAAAAATAATTTCTTACATAAAGGATGAAACTCCTTCTTCTATACATCATACAACTCTTGGATATATTAAAGTATCTCTAAAATAGAAATCCTGCGCATGGATCAAATGTGTAAATTTCGTTTCTTCTTAGTCTTCATCTTATAATGATCCATCTTCCAGTACTTTTCTTTCTAACTGTTACTTTTTCTTCATATTATCGTTATATGGCTAATAGTAAAAATTATTTGGAAACGATCAGTAAACATGTCAGTAATATATTCGAGATCTAATCGTTTGGATATAAAAAGGTTGGAAAGATTTCACGGTTTTGATATACCAAATATCAAAATAAAAAAGAACAAGTTTGTATTTTACATACAATCACCCAAGTTTCACTTTTTCCACTTTTTCCTTTCTATTTTAAAGGATTATTCAACTATTTAATAGTTCCACAAATGGTTCCCCTTTTTATGAAGCGGGTCGTGAAACACCATGCTCTCAGATTTTATTATAAACTAATATCTTGGCCACACTATTACAGTTGGTCCCGCTCCTCGATTAAGTACGCCGTTTACTAGTGACCTATAGCTAACCTAAATAAAGACTACTTATTTCTATGATTATCAGCTGTTTTAATATTGCTAAAACAAATTAGCAATAAAATTAAATTTGAATAGAAAATATATTAAATGCATTCATAAGAATAAATGAATATTTTATATGCTTGCCATGCTTTTCTAGTTTATATGAAATTAAATTAAAAATATAATATTTTATGATATATTTAAACAATTTTTTTTTTAACTAGAATATATTTAGAATTCACTTGTAATTTTTGAGGCACCTTTATTTTTTTAAAAATATTATTGCAATTGGCATAACTCAATCAAAATTTTCAGACAAACTAAAAATAAGCAGTAAAAATAATTCATATTAGACCTACCTACACAAAATATTAATATAATTACCTCAAATCGCCAGCAAGGATTCTGTTAGAGGAGAGGATCGAATCATATTTCTTTTAAGTCAGGTAAGGTTTTTTAGGTAAATTATGGTTATAGGTATTAAAGTTTATATCAAACCTAACATAATATATAGTAAAGAGTGAAAGAACACATATATATGGCCATTGATATCTGCACATTTTACTAAAATGATAGCTACTTCCATTTACCGCTATCAGATACGGTGACGCAAAAAAACTCATATTTATTTAGAACCAGGTAAGGTCCTTTAAGTAGGCTTTTTATACCTTAAAGTTTCTTTAAATTTAATACTTCAACTAAACAAAGAGCTATAAAACGCTATATATTTAATTATTATTGTCATTGTAGAATCGTTAACTTTTGTAAACTGTTTCCATAAATCGCCATCAAAACTCAGGTAAAGGGGAGAAGAAAGCCATATTTACTTAGAACCAGGTAAGTTCTTAAATAAGTTTAGAATAAGGTAATCTTAGAATCGGTAAGATCCTTTGAATAAGTTTAGCATTTCTTTAAAGGAAACTTAAATTAAATACATCAACTCAACAGAGTGTGGCAGAAGACTGTATTACGTCTATATAGTTGATGTAACTACCAACTCTTTCACAATACCAAAGTAATAGTGTTTACAAACTATCACAAAACTGAACTGCGAGTTAATTCTCTATATTGCTATAAATTGTTAGGTACAAAAGAGGAGAAAGCAATACTACTTGAGAACCTGGTAAAATCCTTCAAGTTATGTTTCAGTTATTTTTATATTTTTTTGAAACGTAACAAAATAGCCAAACAAAGAGCGGGAGAAGTCTATATTACATTTTTGAACTATATTACATTTTGAATTCTTTAAATTATCTGTGATCTGTGAGTTTATATAGAAAATATAGAAAAACATCTATAAAGGGTAGTTCCTTTAAAATATTTCTCATATCTCTAACTTATTCATTAGAATAAAATAATTATTTTAAATGCATACCTTGTATTATAGAGAATATTTAATAGTTTTGCAGCAATTAAACAAATTTTATACCAAATAGATTTAGCATAAACTCCGACTTATAAATTTTAATAACGATTTAAGGACAAACTCATCGTTCGTTTCAAGTACGCCAGGTTTCATTAAAATGCAAACACCAAACCCAACTTTGCGGAATAAAATGAAAAATTTGCATTGAAGACCTTACATAGGAAACCAAAGGAGCAAACTTTTCTATATTATACAACAATGGAGAACAGATTTAATTTAAGGGTATCAGCGATGAGTACATGAAGCGAGTTGGCGGTCTCATATGTTGGAACGATGTCAGCTATGAAAGTGAACTTTCTGTAAATTGTGTTAGAAAAATATCCTTAAGGTATTCATGGGAAACACAAACATGTTAGTGAGCAGTTATGGTGATATGCACAACTGCGAACGGTACCGTATATCACTCACCATTGAAATCCACTGCAGTTGGTTGCATACTCGTAAGCGTTGCTATATATGTGATTCAGAGTCGCGAACGCAGGATATGAAGTTTAATCCGAAAGCATTGTCAGCTGACGCTCCCAAGCACTGCGAAACACATGCGATTGAGTTGCTTTATTGTAACCACGGTTACTTTACCTTTACTTTAGTGTTCGGTTCGGTTTGGTTTGTTTTGGTTCTGTACTGTTCTGTTCTGTTCTGTTCTCTTTTTCATATATAATAGAGTAAGTTTTTATAGGTTTTGTTTGCAGTATGGTGATGCCACAAAGTCCTGCTCCATTTGCAAACAGTTTTATTTCCTTTCTTTGTTACATTCATGAATTTTTAAATTATTTTAAAATTTATACGTATGAGAAGTGCAAGCATTCCTACATGCAGAGCCTCATGCGACTACGTGTATACGTTTGAGGACATTGCTATTGTTGTAGGATTTCATTGAATCCCATTGTAAGACCATGTCAACAACAACAATAACAACAAAAGCAGCAACCTGTGTGCAATAATACACGAAAGTTTTTGTCATTGTGAAAACAATATTTTTGCTTCTGCAAAGTATCAAAAGCCATTTTATTGCCATATGCCGTTTATATACTTGACCCATATTTTATTGGTAGCTTTATTTTTTTTTCTGTCCATTACCATTCAACTTACTTTAATATGCACTCCCAAGCATGACCTAATTTATTTGCTGCACTGCAATGCAACTTTACACAATTCAATATTCAAGCAGCCAAAAATTGCATATGCAAACTGACTTAATTAACAGCCAATATGGTTTGACGTATTGATCAATTGCAATAAAAGCGCATAAAACAAATATCTAATCCTCATCTAAATATTGTAGACACGTCCTTTCCAAATCCATAGCCGAAGTCATTGCAAAGCCCAATGCAAATAATATTTGCTTTATCCTAACCGCAAGTTGCAGGCTGCCAATGCAGCAGCCAATGACGTTTACCTAGTGGTCGGAATAGTAGCCACAAATATTCCTTGTATACAAGCATAAATTATATCGGCCATCCTTGCCCTTTGGGCTGCAACTGTTGCCAACTTTGGTTAGTCATTAGCCAAATGACACAAAAGGCATGGCTGCATGCAACGATGTTGACTTCAAATGATGCAGTCTAGCTGCCCAATTACTATTATTGCTGCAGTGTGGCAAATTAATAATGTGTCAATGGGAAAATGAATGTTGCACACCCAACGTTGGAGATCAATTAAGGCAAATATTAGTTTTGGGCTGCCATAAATATTTTGGAACTACGTACCGAATTTTGAGTATGTGTTTGGTTTATTTCATGAATGTAATTTGATTGTCGAAGCTGTGGAAATTATTAATATATTTCAACGCCTGTGAAAAATACTTAAAAAATATTTAAAAAAATTTTAAATTGAATTGGATTCACATATCACACAAAATAATATTCAATAATTCATACAAAAATTTGTCACAAAATTCATATATAAAACCGCTTGAAAGAATTTTATTATAAAAAAAATATTTTTTTAAAATCAGCTGCGTTACAGTAGACAATAGAGTTTTAGGCCTTTCAAGCTTACTATGCTTTATGCAATTAAAATAACTTTTTTAGAAGTATTAAAAGATGAAATCTTAAAATAATATTAGATACTAACAATTCTCTTTTAAATAGGTTTCATCGCATCAGTTCATAAGCAAGAGGGATTTCAAGTAAATAAGTGCGCTGCATAAACTGAAAATTAAGCAAACGCGTGTACACACTAGAGAAGTCATCTACAGCGGTTCTTGACCTGTGCAATCTGAAAAGAAATATTTTGTGATTCTTGACCAGTGCAACCTGTGAAGTGACCTCTTGCTGTTGTTGATCTATTTAATCTGAGAGGTAATTTTTGACTGCACTTAGACTGTGCGATCTGCGAAGTGATCTTTTGCGATTCTTGGCGTATGCAATTTGGGAAGTGATCTTTTGCGGTCATTGGACTAATAACTATTTTGACAGACAGTACCTGGCTGACGAGGTATAGTATATTTTGAACGCCTATATTAGTTATAATGTCATATAAAATCTTATATACCATTCTATAATCTTTATCAAATGTAGTAAAAGATATGTTGTTTAGTGTAGGTTTTTAACTTTAAGTATCAAGCAAAGTTTATCCGTGTGAACTTGATCATATTGGACTACTTCTACTTCTACCTCTATTGGACTACTTCTTTACTTCTATTTTTAAGCAAATCACTTCTTGAACTTCTGAAAAGAAAATTACCTATGCTTAAGGATCTGTATTGTAAGGTGCTTCCAAAAACGAATGACACGAAGTCTAGACGTAGACCTAAAAAGTACATTCATATTAAGTATCATTTTTAAGTAATGTAAAAACGGTCCGGGAGATTGAGTTTCGATGAAGAGGGAGTGTTTTAGTCCCTATATCTTATGCAACCATGTTAGAGAGTTGGGCACATAATTCTGGTGACAGTGGGAATTGATGGTACTTAAACCATGCCATCTTTTTAAGATAAACAACAAATGAATTTATATTTTCGTTGATTATTTAGTAGTTTTATTAAAATGTACTATTTCTTATGGTTAAGATAAGAGGTGCCAGAACCAGCACAGAGTTTTTGCAATATAAAGTCAAACAAGCGCTAAGCCGTTCAATATATTTACTTTTATATCAAAATAAATATAAGCAATTGACAAAAAATCCAAAAAATAGGAGTACCTAATAAAATAATAATCAAATTACTATAACAATCAATATAAGCGATAATAATATTGTAAATATGAAAAGAATCACCAAATGATTTTTGGGAACTTGGCACTTAGCCTTATTGTAGATACATAACTGCATAATAATTTCGTTTTATTCAATGGTAGGTGGCACCTATTTAATTATTTTTATTAAAATAATTTTACGGTCTTTACCATTTCAAAATTTTAACTCTTTTAATTTGTTTTGTTGAAGATTCTTAAAATTGTTTTTCAGATTAATCCGTACAGTTTTGCTTTAATCAAAAGTCTTTCCTTCCATTTCCATTTTGGAATTGCTATGAAAACTTGAAGTTGCTCTTCGTTTTAATGTCATTTTGCCTCTTTGTCTTTGGCCATAACAGATTTTTTGTTGCAAGTAAAAGCTAAGTTCATATTTGGATTAGCATTTTAGTTGATTGCCAAAAAGCATTTGCTTAAACATCATTTCCATGAAAACTGTTACTGCCACTTTAGCATATCCTTGGCAACTTCCTGCAAACTTGTAGCATAAAATCGTTTCTGGTTGCTACAAGGATCTGCACATAAAACAAAATCAAATTTTATAAAAAAATTTACCAAAAACGGAAGCTGTTTTGGTATGTTTCCTTCCTTCCTATTGTAAAAATTATTTCGCATTTTTTCCCTGCCACTACACTCATCATACTCATGTATCTTCCCTTTTTTACTCTTTTTCCTATGCATATATACGAGAGTACATAACATATATGCAAATATTAACTCTATTGTTTTCTTGCTTAAGCTGTCTTCTTGGCGCTGAAAAATTTATCTGGAGAAGCCTTAAATACCTTAAAAACTCAGTAAGTCTCAAGTCGTTGGGTTTAGTATGCAAGTTACTTTGCCAAAAAATGGTCGAAATGCGATAAAAAAATGGCGGTAAAATGTAATGTAAACATTTTTTTCGCGTCAACTTAAAATGGTGATTTTCTACTATTTTATTTAAGAGAATGTAAAAAAAATTAAATGTTTGCGTACTTGAACTTGTACGAAAGGCATTGGCTGGCAACCTTTCTTCTAACTATTCATGTCGCTTGGCTTTGAAAGTTTTGTTAATTTTAGTAGCTCACTTTTCATCACAGCAACTCTCTCTCGGTGAACTACTCACACTAACTTTCTTACTTACATTCATACCCACAGTCATCAGTCTTCAGCACTTGCAGTACATAAATTCCTAATAGAAGACCGACCGCATAGGAAAAATAAATATTTTAACCTAAGTTTTACTATTTTTTTTTTTTTTTGTTAATTTTTGTCTAATAAATTTATGGTCCAAAAAGGTGTTGAAAAGGTGATGAAGTTTTTAAAAGTTGCCTTTTTAAAAACTTTATTAACTGCTTTTTTAGGAACGAAAAGTGTGGCAGAAGTTAATAAAGTTCAATTTTTAATAGATACTTTTTAAAATATTTTTTATAAGTAAAGTTCGGAATATGATAAGATATTAATTTCATTTCTTTTTTAGAAATATAATTCATATAATGTTAGATAGCGCTTAAAGTCATATATAGTTAAATAAGTTAATTGCAATATTAGCATTAATCCTGCTATAATATAAATAAACCCAATTTTAATAAACCATTTTTCTATTTAGAATTTAAAACACTTAACTAATATAGTATGATATAGACTTAGAATCATGTTTAAAATAAAACAAATTTTCAGTAAACATAACTAAAAGTATGGCACCTGAACACGGATTCTGTAAACCCGTACACGTATTACTTACTACCTATCTATTAAGTACAATTCAGCAATAGTAATAAATTAACTAATAGTTAAGATTGTACTACTTCTATCCAATGAAGAATGTTTTTAAGAAAAGAATAAGTAAAAGAATTTGTAAATAGAGCAGTTTTTAATATTAAAGCAGGGGGACTTCAAGTATAAATGCAACATGGGTTACTGAACACATCCGACGCCATAAGAATCGTCATAGTATTGTAAATAATTAATACTCTCATACTCATATATATTCGATAATACTCATAACTTTTTATTAACGGATGGAATGTCCAAAACAATTTCAAAAAACTATGTCTAGAACCATGTCGAAAACAATGCCCCAAACATTGTCCCAAATGTCCCAAATAATGTCCAATAAAATGTTCAAAACAATCTTCAAAACAATGTCCAAAACATTTTCTCTGTGAATGTCTAAAACGGATCATTGAATAGCAGTGCATTATCCATCTTATGCATAGACTTGTTAACTCAAACAAAATATGGAAAAATGAGACCCTGAAATGACTTCACGATCACTAAAAGATTAACGATGGGTGAAAAACTGGAAGTAATACAATAGACCACCTGAGTGGCGGTCAGGTGGCCGTATATAATAATATTAATCATTTAAATTCAAGTAAAAGAAGAAGTATAGTCTTAAATTTACTGTTTCTTATCCTATGAAAGTAACTTCATAAAAATATGTGATGCAGTGATATCAATGAGTTGTTGATAGTAGAATAATAGTATGCACTGACTATCTTCTTAATGTTAATGTTACGGATTTGGTTGGCACACTGTTTTGACTTAGTAATGTTATTTTCTAAAAGTTGTAAAAAATAACTTGGCACAAACGAAGTGTGAACAACTCGATTTTATTTGATAAAATGAACTCAGAACTGAACAAATGCTCACAAATATATACGACTATGAATGCATGATTCGCATATAGGATTTTCGTTGGCACAATCAATTCTATGACGGCTATTAAAATCTTGAATGTGATGATTAAGCATATAACTTAAGTCCATAAAAAACTTTCAGGTATTTGTGGAATTCACCAAATAAAAAACTGAAATACCAACAAGGACGGGTCATCACATTTGGCAGGAAAATTTGACCACACGAAAAGGTTATGCTCGTATTTTTTTCTACAGTTTGACGATGAAAAATATTAAACCGTTCAGTAATATATTGATATGCTGAAACTATTCCAAATGAGTTCTGTTAAAGTCAAATATATCAAGCATTGTAACTGGTGATAACATGCAACATCGCCAAAAGAGACAGAAATCAAGACATCAGAGTATGGCTGGAAGTCACCAGAAAAACCAAAAAAACAGAACTCTAATGAAATTTTCGTTGTCTTGAAAGAAGATTATTTCTTTCAATACAGTTTTTGTTTTTTTTTTTGAGGCAGGTCTTAATCGATCTGTGACAAACCAAGCATACATTATTTACTAGATATGATATATGTTCAGTACTAACAAATTAATAGAATGTTAAGAGTAAATATAAATACCTTCGGGAAGTAAAATTTATATATATAGAAATCTTAGCAAAAAATAAAAAAACATTATTTCTTCACAATACTAAATAAAATTCTTTTCTCTTTCATTATTCCAGAAGAAACGCACCCGAAATTTGTTTTGGACTTAATCAAGCACTGACACGCATTATAGTCTAGTAGCAATATGAATTTTGAGCAGATAGATTTATTAACACCAAATGAAGCGGAACATTTATTCTATACCACCAATCTTGGTATAAATATCAGGCGTAGACACTATGAGCAACTGGCAGACGAGTTGGTGTTTGTGATGACACCAGCTGTTGAGCCGGAACTTTTTGAAGCCTATATTTATTATCGCAGTAATGGTTCTGTAGCCTTTCTGGACAAATTCTGTTGTCGTTCCGCCGATATAAAATTGTTCTATAAGGTAAGAGGATTCAGTAGTTCATTAGGTGTTGAGGTGAATCGTCGGTGCTCAGCAGAAACAGCTCTTATCTTGGCAATGCATCTTTAAGTCTGAAATACATGGAAGAAGAAAGGATGTAGTGCTACTTGTAGCATGCTGTGGTATCAATCTGATTATAGAATTTTTGGAATTCATGATTATAATTTGAGTTTGAAATTATTTTTACAGTATGTAAAAACTTGATAAAATGAAAAATCTAAAAATTAGTGCCTAAAAATCCAAAAAATTTGTAAAATCTTGTGAGACTAAAACTTATTTTTGTATATCCAAAGCCCATTTATTTTTTATATACTTGCCTATGTAATGCTAATAAATTTGTAGTTGCATATAAGAAACTATTTCTGGTGTTTTAAATCATTTCTGTATGTTTTAATTACCCATTACCGAAATTCTAGAAATTGTCATATCACAAAAGCTCACATGTATTGGTAGCGCCGATGAAATTTTGATTTTAAAATATATATATAATTAAATAATTTAATTATTTTATAGCTAGTTTATGATTTCGTTCTGATATAACATAGTAAGTGAATTTGTTAATTAAATTTCACAATAAATTAACAAAACTCTAAGTTCGAACATAAAATGTACGGCTATGCCTCATTTGGTTAATGAACACTGACTCTGAGCTTCAAATTTGGTGGGGCGCGAATTCAACCCTTGGTATTTGCAGTCTCAAACAATTATTAACGAATATTAAAATATAATAAATAATTCCAATACTACTTAGAATGGATACTCGATTACTCGAGTAATCAAACTGTAGAAAATGGGGGTTAGAGATATTACACAATACAAGTTCTGTAATGGGACAAATGAAACAGGCAATTTATAAAGTGTAGGAGTAAGGAGATAAGTTGATTAACCATAATTAATGTTTAAAGATAAACACTTTTGAAAAAAAAAACGCTTGGAAGATCAAACGCGATGAAGAGATTTGACGAATAAAAGAGAGAAGCACATATCACCGATTTTTAAGGTTCACAATTTTTTAATTGTCAATATCATAAATATCATTTATATTGATTTATGTTTTATTATATGAAAAAATATGATTTAGTCTTATTTTATATTAAGATTAGTTTAAAACATAATATGTCACCGATAATATATTTGAAACACTACATACATTAGTAAAAATGAGTTGAGTCCTTTAAGTTTAAAGTGATTGCTTGGGCGAATCCATTTTCCGCTGTCTGCTTTCTGGTTCCTTATATTTTGTTTTCTTCCTTCAAAAGAAAATGAAATGAAATTTTTTAACGCCAAGTTTAATGTTTCTAAGTTTCTTTTGTCCTGTTGGTCATTGCTGGTCTTGGTCTGTGAATTCTACTCTCAACTTTTGCTAAATCATTGTCATTATCCAATTTTAATTTTCTGGACAGTTGTACATGAAAATTCTTAAGGAAAAATTAAAATAAAAAAAAAAACGCTAAGAATGTATAAAAGTCGTTGAATCAAAGAAAGAAAATTTAATTTGTATCTTTTGGTCACCAATTTCCGACGCAATCCTTTTTTAATTGCGGTAATTTTGAACACTTTTAACTCTGTAACTTGTCTAATTTAATACCAATTTCTTTCCATTCTCCTTCTCTGCTTCTTGAAAACTTCAGAGGAAATTCGTCTAATTTTAATTTTAATTTGGATGAAAACTTTTTTCGTTATATGCAGTAGGGAGAAATGAAAGGGAATAAGTTCAAGTTGAAAATTTCATTAGTTTGTTGATTTTATATTGGTTTCGGTATAAGTAGAAGAATAGCTATTTTAAATTTTCTATTTGAAAGGAATATTATCTCTGATATTAAAAGTGAGGTTATTAAGCGATATGTCATTTAAAATACATAGTTGAATGTCATATGGAAAAACTAAGGACTTGTTTATGGAATACATTATGACCATATGTCTTACCTGATTGAAAGTTGAGTAGAGATCATACAATCAGATCTTTAATCAATTAAGTACTTCATACATGAAAGTATCAATAAATCTGAAGTGGGTTTAAAAAGAATTATAACCCAGTATTTAGTATGCAAGTTTGCTGAAGTTGTTGGCATTTTAAGTAAATATATTCATAATGCTCTAAAAGATTGATCACACATGCTACATAAGTCACAGAAAAAGTACTACCGAGTAACTTCTTTCACTGTTTAGTGTATTCATTTTTAATGAAATCCATTGAAATTTCTCATTCGGTTCATACCTAAAAATGAGACGTCATCAAACTTCCAGAATATGAAATCAGTGAAGGAAAAGAATTTCTGGTTGCGACTTCATACAAAAAGATTAAGACAATTTTATTATTAGTAAAGATTATGGTTGTTGTTATTTTACAAAAATTATATACAACTTCAAAAAAGAAATTAAGGAAAATAGGATGATTATATGATACTTCTAACCCAACTAATTATAAAAATAAGTATAGAAGGAAAGCATTCGCAAAAAATAAAACTCTTTCTTATTCTTTAATCTACAATTGCTAGAGTAACACTCTTTATATTATATTAAGATATCAGTATCATTTAATATATTCTCCAGATTAATCTTCTAGTACATATTTTTCTCATCTAATAGAAATCGAATTGTTTTATATTGTACTTTTCTGCAATAAATAATATCGCTTATAACTTGAAGAGTGATGCATAATATATGATATATAATTTGCAGACTCTATTTAAGAAAATGATATTTAAATATATATATGAAAATATAATTCTAAACTGTCCATTTTTAAACTGGTATCATGATCTTACTCCTGATTTCTTTTAATGCAAGATATTACTCTTCGATTTGGTTCTATATACATAGCATGTCCAACACCCTCAATTCTAAACTATTTTTGTCTTCATAAAGTTTAATGTTTCCCCTTATTCAACTCCACAATCGTAAATGTTCTGGTTCAGAATGAGTATTTTACAGATAACTAAAATAGAGCACAATCTTACATTTATAGTACGTCACCGCTTTACCAGACACAACTGAACTTTTGTATAAGCTAGATCAAAGTTTCTCAAAATAGAGTGTACGTTTCACAGAGACTAATTTATTTGTTAATATGGGTGATATAAGATTACACGTAAACTCACATTGTTAAAAATTTGGTACAACTGACCCATATATATCTTCATTCACGATCTTGCAATAATACAGAAGTGCACAAGCATATCAAGAAAAGCGATGAATACAGTTCATCTGTAGTCGTTCAAAACATGTTAGATATTTGACTGATCGGTTCACCTTGGAATTTCTTTAAATCTTATAAGTTCATGCATACTACGAAAGTGTCGGGAAACACTGACTTTGATTATTTAGTTTTCTAAATATTCAGCATATTGATCTCTACTGTGTTATATTTTCTGTAGATATATCAATTACATAATGGATTTGCTGACAAGTTACTGGCGTTAAAAGAACTATTTTAGGAGATTGACTACACCCATTTTATTGTCTAGTACCGTAGCTGATCAGTAGCTGAAGAAAGTATTTTGCATTCATCTAGTTATTGTCTAGTACATAATCTAAGTAGATTAAACATGCCAGGGAGTTATATTGTAAAGGATTCTAGTCAGTTATAAAACTTTCCTCCAAAAAAAACATTTTCGGCTTTATTATGCATTTTAATTGATTTTTGAACCTTCGGCAACATGGCCAACTTAGCCCGGCAGGTCTAAGTAGATCCTGCAGGATAATATTAATAACCTAGTTTAAGCGGTCCTCATTTTATTGTACCGGTTATTGGTTTCATTAAAGAATTTAACAATGTCTTTGTCAAAACTAATGAAGCGGTTATATATGAAAGTGTAGGGTTTTTATTGATGTCCGCAATGCCTAACATATCTGTCTACCTAGTCTAACTTTAATACTGACTATTTTCAATATAAGCATGATGTACTTGTTTTCACTTTTTGTATTTTATTTTATTATTTTTTCATTGAAGTAGAAAAGTTTTAGGTCGCAATTATCAGGCTCGATACACATGAATACTTTTTGAGCACAAAAGCGGTGCGGGAGAAATGTCATTTAAATAATTAGAAATTTTTTTGTATTTGCAAAAAGTAAGAAAAGCATCCAAAACTTTTCAGAAATGAAAAAATTGGCTACTTAAATATTCATAAGTGTTTGTTAATAATATGAAACGAATAAAAAGTTTCTCGACAACTACAAAGCGACGATTGGCACTTTACCCTCTTTAAAGTTTGTCAACAGACACCAGAAATTCACTTGTCAAACTCTCATTAAATATTTAAAAAGAAAATAAACATTTCAGCAAAAACATCTGCACAAATGCTGGAAATCAATTATGCCAAAACAACGATTTGTTACGGGGGAAGGAAGCAATGCTATGAATGTGGATGCGAATGCGAATGCGAATAGGTACACATATTTTCCAAATGGAAGAGCTTATTACTCCCACACCTAGCAGCAATCTGTGACTGATATAGTAGCATTATAATTTCTAAGTGGTTTCAACTTATTTTTTTATCCTGCAAGCACAAGTGAGGGGGCGGGAAGTGAAACGTACGTATAATTTTTGATAATTTTTTACTTTGGAGTGACTTTCTTTTTCATTTCTTTTGTTAAAAGTTTTTTAATTGAACATTGAAAGAACGCAATTTTCGTAATGAGCAGAGTTCCGAACTGAAGGGAAAGTGATATGCTGTGGAACGTTTGAAGCTGGAGTGGCATGCAACTCATGAAACATAGCTCGGCGGGGGAGAAACGCTTGGGTAGAGTATGAATTTATTTTCATTTGCAAAATTTTTGTCGCATTTTAAACAAAAGAATTATTTTGAGATACTTGCTTTGATTCGAGACAATGAATTATGAAAATTGTTTACACATTGGCTGCAGTTGAAATTCTAGGATTTCAAATAAAAATTGCTAATAAAGATACTTTAAATTCATAAAACTCCTTGTGTTTATAAAGTTAGCGAAAGTATGATTATACTTTTCTTCAGGGTAATGGTAAATTTTTAATTTTAGTGGTAGATGAAAAAAAAAGTTTACAAAGTGACGTTAATATGATTGTAACAGTTGGCATGTGAATTAAAATAATGAATTAAATTCTGACTTTCGATTTAATTACCAGAAGAGCTTAATTCTAAGGAGTTACACGCTTTAAGAATAGCATAATTTTAGATAGTTTTTAAATATATGCCCGATTGACTTCTGCTACTACTACTACTGGCCTCCTTTAACGACTTCTATTTAACTGCTTAACCGACTAACATCTGACTGCTGTCTTAACTACTGCTACTGCTTGACTACTTGGCTGCTTGACAGATATCCACTTGACTGCTTAACCGGCTTACATGTATATGTATTATATAGCTATATATAATATATTCAGTACAAACTAAGATAACAGTAGACGTAAATTTAAATGGATATACTTCAAATATCTAATGCTGACTTCGTACATTGACATCAATTCGTCTAGGTACTAAGCAACTTCGTTGATCGCAAATATCTTGGAAAAGGAAGATTTAAAAGAAAAAAGAGTTAAGTATTGTTTTAGTACTAATAGAAATTATTTTAAAAAAGTATGAATAAATTATAAATCCTTGTACTGCAAACTTGGACCTTCGATCGTCACTTACAAATAGTGCAACAAGTTATGTTCAATGTCTGGAAACAAGTGGGAAACTAATACAGAGGTCCGTAAAGCAGTACGGATGAAATGGTAAGGATCGATAAGTACATTTTGAGTATAGTATATTCTGCTGTTAAGAATACGATGTGGGTAATATACATACAAGTATATACATATATGCAGTTAAGAAATGTTGTGGTAAAATTTAACTGTGTCTTTAAAAAAACGGCTGATTACATAGCAGTTACAATTGTTCTATTGTTCCTATTTGGGAACCTAAGGGTTATGAAGCATACTAGAGGTATTTGTGATTCAAATATACTTGCTGTAATTAGATTTATAGAGTTCCAGCTTCATTCTTGAATATATGTTGAATGCCATAATCTGTGAAAATAATCTATCATTTGGAATATCAGAGAAACTTTGGAGCACTACTTACTATAAATACTACAACTTGAGTATAATGACTTCTATTTTTATATAAAGCGTTTGAATAACACATAAAAAGTAAGGATGAATTTAAAATGGGAACAAATAAACCAAACTATCTAAAATTCTAAAAGTTCCATTTTGTACTTATGTCTAACGCTTTACTGGTTCCACATTAAAGTATTCTGTTAGATTGGGCCTGTCTTTCAGTATATTATTTATGAAGAAAATGAAATAGGTATATTTCATTTCTTTTGTCGATGTTGAAGTCACTTTTATTAGATATTTCCATATCATTTTTAAAGATGTCAGTAACTCATAACTGACTCTGCTCACATAGTTTTCAGCTTTCCAAATTTAATACAGTAAAAAATCATCGAGAGTGAAGTAAAAACAGCGAGATGAAAATGATGACAGAGAAAAAAAGGAGTGACAACGTTTGACAAGATCTGATAGATATGAATGTCACCAACTGGAAGGTAAAGGTCAAAAATAGAGAAGAATACAGGAATGTTGTAAAAAATGCTTTGATTCTACATGGACTGTATAACTATGGATGATTATGATGGATATAGTAAAAAAGCTTTACTTTTAATCCTTAAAAGGGTTTGAATGCATATGAAGTTTTATAGTCAGGATTATTCTAAGAGAGGGATCTTTATGCTCTTCTTCTTTTCTTCTTCTGCTCTTCTTTCCGATTGCTCACTATAGAAGTATATTTGGTATTCTTTTTGGTTTTTGTATCACGTAGAAAATTTCTTACAAAATAGCGAGTCTACATTCATAGGATTACGAATTAGGTTCATTAAGTATATTAAAAAGGTATTCTATATTAATTAGGTTTATTAAAAATCCTTTATGAAAATAATACAAGTAATTCGAAACTGTCATTTTAAGAAAAAGAAAAAGTGTGTAGTCTTCATTAAAAGGATTATATTCGTTTTTGTTGATTCGTTATAGTCTTTGTTAAGATTGATAAGTAACGCTTGATCGTTATAGCTGACGAATGACTGGTAGACCTGGTAGTTACTGGTCGCTACTGGTCGTTTCAAGAAATTAATTTGTAAATTACTTAAAAGAAAGAATTATTGTATGCAAACTAAACAATTTTATTAAATTATTTACAATCTTATAATTTTTGTTTCACATTTAAATATCTTAACAATTACTCAAAAACAACAACATTAAGATTAGTTACAAAGTAGCTTAATAATATCACATTTTAAGTGTTTTATACTAAATTGTTTACAGTGTATACATTAAATATAACTAGATACGATATTTGTTTGTTTAAATCTCAAATATCAAATAGCATTGACATCAATGGCAGATATATGTTACTTACAGATACAAAATGCCTTCCAATGCCTTCATTAATAATCAAAAATGTAGTTCTTGTCTTTTAAGAATATAATTTTTTACAGTGTACTGCTAGCTTTGTATTATTTCGTATTAAAATATATATTATATTTGTGCTTTTCTTGAGGTAACTTTATATTTAAATTTAATTTTTTTTAGCATTCCCTATAATACTTCTTTCTTATTCGTTTTCCATGTTTTTAGCGCGTAAATATTTTAAGAGCATTTGCAGTGAATCATAAGTATCAAAATCATCCAAATTTCGACGTGAAGACGTCATATTTGTGGGCCTCGGCATTGCTAATGGTACAGGCAGTAGTTCAGGCATAACCGAGTGATGTGTGATGAGGGTTTTCAGTGACGTAAACTCTTTACGGAAACCCTTGGTTATAAATGTTATTTATTATTAAAATTTAAAATTATATTTTTTGATATTGCTAAACTTACTTTTATTTTATAACCTCGAGTTGTGCGTAAAATGATATAATTGGCCACCTTAGGTCCAGGTGGGGAAGGTACACGCAGTGTTAACGCATAACAGCCTGGCTTTGATGTACTTTTACGCACTAAAAAAGCGCCTGGACTCTTACTTGAAAGTACTTCTTCTGCTATATCACGTGAGATACCCGCTTGAAACCAGGAAGCATCTTTAAGATCTGTATCTTCTTCCTCTGCGCCGCTCGTATATGTTGTGGAACTTGTTGAAACATTATTTTTCGTGTTAACTGCTGCATTCATACGCAAACGGTTTGCAAATATTTTTGGACTTGAATTCGCTGTGGTGAAAATGGAGTTTAGTTGCTAGTTTAAGGATTTCAAGAAATAAGAAATTATTGGTGCTTACCACTGCTCGTTTCACGTAGGTAACGTTTTTTTAAGTTGAACTCACTGTTGTCATTGAGATTTAACGTGTCTAGCATGGGTATAGCAGTCAGTGACTGCCGACAGGAGTCACCAAATTTGCTTGCTATGAACTTCTCTGGTTCAAAGGCTTCTTCGTTGATGTAACCATTTGAGTAGACTTGATTACTTGCAGCCTGACTTTGTTTTATAGTGGAATTTGTAGTGCTCGTCGTGCAATTCGTTGATGGGGTTATGTTATTTACAAGTGGACGAGATTCTTCATTTGTGCGTAGTAGACCCATTGTGAGACGTTTCACCTGTTAAGAGAGTTGCATATTATAAATGTGTTTCTTAAGTGGATTTTTCAATTTAACAATTTATTAAAGGCATATAAAAGGACTCTTTAGTTTAAAATTGGACTTTAAATGACTTAGAACCTTGTACAAGTATACATGTTAACTTAAGACTTCTTAAACTACTTTTAACATTTTTGCACTTAAAGTTCAAGGTACTGATACTAAAAGAACGAACAAATATTTACGCAAATCCAGATAATCCAAAAAGTGCACTTTATATAACTTTTAAAGGCAAAACATCTTGGAGCGTGCAAAGTAAAAACGTAGAAAATCCTCGATTTAAGCATCAAATTTAAACACCTTTCTGCTAGCTTAACTAAGGACACCAATGCATTTTTTTCTATTGCAATCGCAAAATCGCAATTGTATACGTTGCTTCTACTAAACGCCCACTAACGGAGTCAGACGTTTGCGGCAAATAAATTTCCTGTACCAAGAATTTATTACCAAAAACCACAGAAAACAGAGTACAAAGATTATACAAAAACAGTACAGAAAAAAAAGATATAAAAGCATAACGTTAAGTTTTTACATGAATGCGACACTACCTGCTACTGGAAGCTGCATTCAGAAAGGAGCTTACTTTCTTTCCAATTCGTGTGCGGTTTAGTTACAGTTTAACGGAAATGGCTGCTACTGCCGCATACCGGCAGCCGGTATAAGTAAGGAGACGGGTGCTTAGTATTAATGCAGCGAGTCTGTTACTTGTAGTTTCTTTAAGTGGCAAAAGATAAATGCAGTAAAATAGCAGTAAGAAACAGGAGCCGGCACTGTATGTTGCCTGCATATTCGGCGTGAATTTTTAAAGTAACTTAAAAAGGAATGAAACTCATTTCCGCGGTTGAGTAATAATTCAACAGCATTTGGTCCAAGTTGCTAGTAAACCGGCAAAGTTTTTGCAGAAGAAAAAATTTCAACAGACTTGAGGGTCAGTGGCTTTGAACTAATGCAATACAAATAAAAATGAAAAAAAGTTGTGAATTTTAGGCTGAGCTAAAATAAACTGTAGCCAAGCACTTGAAAAGCACAGAAATGAGAGTCAAGTTCGTATCCTGTCAGCAAAAAATACGAATATCAGCACAACATCCCGTGGCATTGACAATGAAGTTTATTGCAGACGAATTCATTAAAATGGATTTACTCTGTAAATAAAAAAAGGAAAGAGCTTCCGCATCAATTTTTTATCTTGTATTTCGTTGACTTTTATTAATTTTTTCTATTTTGATTATTTTTATGATTTTTTAGAATTTTACGGTTTTTACAATTTTGATGACTTTTAGGATATCTACTATATCTGCAAAAAATTTATTATTTTATTGTGTTCAAATGAAAATTTAGTAAATACCTTGCATACTTTCAGGCGTCAAAAGTGTTTATTTACTTTCAACGTAGCGCTGCAGTGACAAGTGAAGTACATAAAAATAGCGGACTGAGTTGGTAGTCAGAGAAATGTTGTCTGTTATTATTTGAATTTACTTCGGTGTTTATTTTAATTTCGGAGTGACTGAAATTCATTGACTGAAAATAGTGGATAAGTGCTTTTGTCGGATGAAATTGTAAATTTTAAATGAAATCTGATGTTGATTTTCCTTTAAGTGTTGTACATTCTAATTCTTTGTGAGAATATTTTTTAAGCTAAGTTGAAGCTTGTACTAATCGGTATTTAACAGTAGAAACATCAGTCTCATAAATTTTCAATAGATTAAATGTGGGTTAGATTGTGTTAAATTGCAGTGCTTGTTATCAAGATGGTATCTCAGAGATCTTCGAACTTATAATGTACTAGTTAGAGACGTAATTGATAGGATTGCAGTCCATTAAAAAACCACATATGCAACATGTCTACGGGTTTGTTAATTAAGAAGAGGCTCTCACTCTAATCACTGACTTATTTCTATTTCTGGTTATCTTTTTGGTAAGTAGAAAATATTTTCTTTCGTTTGTGTAGTTCAGGAATTGTTGGAGTTTCTTGTTTAGCTATATACTTCCAATTGTGAAGTGTCTTGCTAAGCTTTATTATATAGATTAGACAGCTTTCTGTTTGCACAATATTTTATACATAATGAAATGGAATTCTTCAACCGCACAGTTTCTTTAGTTTCAGGCATAAAAATTTACCGGAGTTGTCTTTTGAAGATAAGATAAGAAAGAACAGGGTATTAGCTCCCATTTGACCAGAGCACCGCGACCATGATTGATCTTTTGTGCTTGTGTCTTTTGAAGATGTGTTGTTCAATTTAGTGAAATCTGGTCAGTTTTTTTTGTGATAAGGTTGCAGATAATTATTGTCAAGTTACAGGTATTATGCTACTTAACCATTTGTTCTTTATTGTCTAGGTTAAAATAGAACCTTGTCTTGGTTACCACATACAAAGAAAGTGCCAAATAATTTGGAACTTGAGCATTAAAATTTTGTGCAGCCTGGACCACTTGTGAAAAAGCACGAATAGTCATCGTTTCTAATTTCTCAGTCATGAGTTTTAAGCCTGGCAATTTTGGTCGAACAAATTATATATGAACTATAAACTAATAAAATAAAAATTCGAATATTTTTTAAAATCACTGGTGATGAGTACCTGGCAATACTCGCAACAGCGCTGGTCAGCCACATTTTAATAAATTAATCAAATTTTTGTTGTTGCCTCTTTATTATTGTTCGAAATGTACCTTCACAGTCTAACAAAGTATTGTTCTTTCATAGTATTGGACCTTCACAGTCTAACAGGCTATTGTTTTTTCTATTCATTTTCAAGAATGGTTTAGGTGAGTTAAGGTTTCATATAGTGGCTTTCCACCTACTAACAAGAAAAAAACAGTTTCAATTGGTATGACTTTCAATACATAATCTTAAAACTATCAGCCTATCTAATCTTAATTTATAAGGATATTATAAATTTAAGCACTTCGCAATTGTTTATTCTGATATTTGTGTACTGAATATCAGTCAACAGAAACCTTTTTAATACGAATTATATTCATTTAGTCAACCATAACTAAATTTGTGAATATATATTGGCTTATGTACTTAGAAACATTTATACGGACATATTTTCTGATATATATACGTACATATACATATAAATATTGTGTGATGAAATGGTTTTAAAAAAGTTTTAAATCAATTTTTAAATAAAAATTATTTTAAAATATGTCAACGATTTTTTGTTGAAAACGAATGGCCTTTAAAAAAGTTTGTGATTTAATGAAACCATTAACCAAAATATTTACAAAATAAATATAAATTTAATAACAAAAATGTAGTAAATAAAAGGACTTTTATATTTTTATGCATTTTTTCGACATACTCGTAGCTCCCCTTTGCGTTTCATCGCTCAATACAAGTACGCAAAAAATAAGTCAATTTTTTATTTTTAATATAATTTTTTTTTGGATATTTTTTGGGTATCTCCAGTCAACTAAATTGTAGTAAATTTACTACAAAACATGTCCTGTTGGCATTATTTTTATTCTGTATGCAAAACAATTTATAATAATTTTCAAAATGTGGTACAACATTCTCAACAGCTGTGTCTGGCTATGAAAAATATTGGGTCCATTGGCAGCAACTAGCAAGCAAATGGGCCCTAGAAGATTGCTATGACGCAAAATGAAAAGGAAAATAAATTTATGTAAATTTAATGAAGTCCTTGCCGGAAGCACTAAATGTTGCCTAAATATTTGGAATTTTTGAATTATGAAAACATCAAAAATATGCTAGCAAATTTTTGTCAGTTTGATGTGTTCCTAATGAACACACATAGCCACTTGCTTTTAATGGCAAAGCATTTGCCTTTTAGAAGCCGGCACTTGGCTCTCCCATTCACGAAAATTGATTCTAAAAGTTGGTTGTCATTTAAAGCTCATTTCTAAATGGCAGCTCACGTACAATTGCAACCGAATCCGAAAACGTTCAAAAATGTTTTCATTTGAGCAACATGTCGCCGTCAATTTAATTGGATTTAGGACCTATCAATCCAAGTTTGTTGTGGGTATTTTTCTGGATTTTAGTTTCATTTGCAAATTCATTTCTCTGCTCTGGGAGTCGGTGATGGGAGTCCTAATCTAAACCCCGCACTTTGCAAAATTTATTCAAAATCCGTTCCTAAACAACTGTCGATCAAATGTCATCAATGCGTATGTTTCGTGTTTGACGTCCTGTGCTGCTATGGTATATGTTGTATGTTGCATTTGAATGTTGTTAATATTCATGGTAACTGATGCATATTATTGTGCCGTTTGATTTGGCGCATGGAGCACTACTTGAACTTATGCCGCCGAAGTTTGTTTGCTGTTAGTGATTTGCTTAGGAATTTTGCTTACTTTGCATTTTGCTGGCTTAGCAAACATTTGCTTGAAGTCAAAATCATGTTGAGTTTGTGGGTATCAAAGCTGAGAAGTGGTAAAAATGCGGGCCACGTATATGAAATTCACTTTGTACAGAGTTGCCAATTATTCTGATTTTAATTACTGAATACTGATGTTAATAACTACCTTTTTACTTTTAAAATTAAATCAAAATCAATATCCATCCAAAACTTACACAAAATCCATAGAAATATATTCAGTGATGTTTGATATATCTAAGTATACCATAAGTATCCTCGTTGTAGAAGATATATTCTATGTCCGTCAAATCATATACAATATATCAAATATATGCTAAATTTCCAAAGCATATTTACTTGTAAAGTAAATAGTTTTGAAATTGTGATTTATTTTAATTGGGTTTAAGTTTCCTATTGGAATATTGGAAAAAATATTTAAAGAAAACACTTTTAATCTTAAGAAATCTTAAGAAAAGTGAATACAGGATAATATTTGCAAAGTGCCAGGTAACTGCACTAAAATAATGCAATTAAAATAACAATTAAAAAAAATCGTATGAAAAACTTTTTCATTTTTCAATCTAAATAAGAATTCAAAAGAAAAGAGAATAGAAAATAATATATAAAGTAAGTTAG